AGCCGCCATGGACACGTCGGAGCCGCGGCCCAGCAAGAGACCGGCCTTCCCACCCGTGGCCGCCGAGGCGCTGGGGGTACGCGGAGTGGGGAAGCACCAGCCTGGCCGCGGTGCCGGGAGGAACCGAGTGCCCGGCGGCTGCCGCTCCGGGGAAGCCGTGGGGGGTAGCTGAGCGGCCCGCTGGCGCCTGGAGCGGTGTCCGGCTTCTCCTGGCTTCAGGGCCTCTCTCTCCCCCTCGCTAGGTCGGAAAGGGCGAAATGAGGAAGGTTCCCGTGCCCGCCAACAGGTACACTCCGCTGAAAGAAAACTGGATGAAAATCTTCACGCCGATCGTGGAGCACCTGCAACTTCAAATAAGGTTTAATTTGAAAACGAGGAACGTGGAAATCAAGGTAAAGAGGGCTCCTTCTCCTCTGCTTTCCTACCGGTAATGCAGTGCCTCTCAAAGGTATTCTTGTTCTGCGTGTTAGAGACGAGTGAAGCGTCCTAAGTCCTTGGAAAAGTGGAAACTCTAGTTGCACCCGACCAGAAAACCTTCACTGAGGTTCAAAATAAAATGTCAGTTATTGCTTAGAAGCAAGTAACTAATACAAATAAAATTCAAAAGTGTTGTTCTCCTCAGGAGAGGGCCAGCGTAAATGGGTGTGTTGGGTTTGTGGTTTTTTTGGGGTTTTTTTCAATTTTTACAGGAGAAAAGTAGGTACTTGAGAATTAAGGATGAGTCTTAGTTTGTGTGTTAGGTATGATTCTGGGATGCACTGTTTTCCAGCAATTAAAGGCTACCACGTACTTATGTGACAATTTGTAGTTAATGAGTGTCTTTTGAGGGGGCCACCAAATCTTCTGTTATTTTTTGTTTGTAGTTTAATAGCTTGCGATTTTTTTCTTTAATGTGTTGTGATGAAATAGCTTAAGGTGCAAATACTAATAAGTAATTGTAAACCTTGTAGATTTTCATTCTTACTCTTTCTCAAGAATATTCAGAGTAGCTGCTTTTAAGTGTATCTCCAAAGTTCACGCTAAGGCTCTGACATACGACTGACTGCATTAGCAGTGTTAATGTACAAGATCTTCTAATGTAAAAGCAAAAATACAGACACGAACAGTAATTTTGCTTCCTAACCTTGAAACCTTATTACAGCTTCAATGGTAGTAACTAGAGGGGAGGTGACAGAACTGCCCCTTATTTATGCTTCCTAGAAATAACTTGAAGGAAAAGGTAGGCAAGAGCAGTAACTCTTGCACTTCCACTGAATAACTCTGCAGGTGAAGAACCTGAGATTTTAACTTTGCTTTTTGATACAAAACTGTGTCTGGTTGAAAAGCAAGGTAGCTCTGTTCTTCATCAAGCTGAGTTCATTTTGCCTGTATCAATCACGAATATAGAATGACTGGAAATTTTGAAATGAGTTTATCATTTCTTTGATGTGGTGTGGAAGCTGTAAATGACATTTTCAGAGTACCTTGCATGTATTCCAGGCCTTAACATATTTATCCTCATTGAGTATTGTTTCCGGCTTTTCTTTTCATACAGCTTCACAGACTGCTCTTCTCTAAGCCGTGTCTGTTAGGATCTGTAAACACAGATGTGCACAGACATTTCCACTGGTAGCAGAGTGGTGCAAACACTTCCAACACTTGCTGCTTTGTCCAATTGATTTGTTCCTGTTCCAAATATCTTGTTAATCTTGTCCCATATGTTTTATTGAAGCTGTCTGGGTTTCTATTCACCTGCTAAAGCATCTTTAGAATACTGGTACTGGAATAACTTTCTCTCCTCAAACTGCCTCCTGTTGGAGGATGGCTTGCAGAGAGCAAGGCCATGGGTCTCTGCAGGAGCTGATTGCAGCCATCTGATGTAAACAAAGGAAAAAACCCAGGGTACAGTTATACTAACAAAGGACTATTATGTTAACAAAGAGAGAAACTGAGGTACACAATGGCCTTGAGTATGATGATGAACAACCTTGGGAAAGAAGGCAGGCCAGAATAGGGAAGATGTTGTAACATACCTGAAATGCCACAAGGGGCTGGGATATTATAATATAGCCTTTTACATGTATCCAATAGATTTGTAAGTAGTATGCATGATTACTGTAGAGTGCTTATATAAGGTGTAATTTCTTTCAATAAAGTTGAAGCTTGCTCTGTCATTCATATTGAATCGACTGCTTGCTTCCTCTGCCCTCTGCAGCCTCCCACTGTTGTCCTCCTTTTTCTGCAGTTCTGTGTTGCAGTTTACTTTGTGGGTTGGTTTGGGTTTTTTTCCCCATAAAAAGGGTTCTCCTCCATCAGTGGTGGTGGGGATTTGCAGCAGCTTCTCTTTTTTCTCCCCTCCAAACACAGGCTGTGGTAGCTGGTGTATTCTTGTTGTCAAGAGTCAACATTATTAAAAAAGCATGAAATGGATTACTTGCATCTTTCAGTAACACAATATAGGAGCATTACCTGAATGTGGCTTTTTTATGATTAGACTGCATTTCTTAGATTTTTCAAGTCCTGATCCTGCTTGCATGGTCTTAATTTGCAAATATAACTTCTTGTCTTGCAGACTTGTCAAGAGACAAAGGATCTCAGTGCTCTAACAAAAGCAGCTGATTTTGTAAAAGCATTTATACTTGGGTTTCAAGTAGAGGTGAGTCTCCCAACAGCTAGGCTGTGAAATTGCTTGCATGATATCTTTGGTCTCTCTGCAAATTACGGTGAGAAAGGATAAAAATCCTTAGGTGGCTTTCTAGGAATAAATTTGTTTGAAATTGTGACTGGTAGTCTAGTTTCTTAATCTAAAGCAGGATAAAAAAAGTAACATTCAAACAGCACATTAAAATTACAAAACAAAGAACATATGAGAGGCAAGAACAAGGCAATAATGTGGCTCTGAGGTGCTCTGCACATATACTCACTGTTTGTTTTGCTTTAGTCCAAACCAGTAACCTTCAGTCTCTTCAAAACTCACTGTACTTGGAGAACACAGAACCGCATTTTGCAGTATTGTATGGGCTGCTCACTGCTGCAGACCAGTACTGACTTCACTAGTACTGGTGGGCCTGGGGTGAATGGGGTGCGTAAGCATACATAGGGTTCTCTACACAGAAATAAGAATTGATATTGAAAAGGTAGTCGATCTAACTTTAGGTGACTGTTGTTTGATATATCAAGTAGAGAAATACTAATGTCATCCATTTATATGTATAAAGAAAACATCAGCTTTCACCTCTCTTGTGGTGCTGTAACACTCATGCTGATAACAAATCTCTTCCTATTTTAGGATGCTCTTGCTCTCATCAGACTAGATGATCTTTTTCTAGAATCATTTGAAGTTACAGACGGTAAGTAGTTTCTGCTGCAGTATTCAAGTAGTTGTCCGTACCATCTGCAAGGATTTTTTCTTCCTCCCCCCCACTCCACTTGTATCACTCTGGAATCAGGAAAACCTTTATACCATTACACAAAATTGTCTGGGTACAAGCAGCTTGAAAGAGTTGTCATTTTGCCAAGATGTCCCTACAAAACCCCCTAAACATTCAGCTTCAAAAGTGTGTCACTTGACCACTGATTTGCTTTGTATTGTCACAGTATAAATGTTTTAAACTCAAGAGATGACATGAAGTGTCATTAGATTTTTAAACAGGACTGGGCTTTGTTCCTCCCACTACACCAACAGTGAGGTGGGTAGTAGATAGCAGAAATGTCCCAGTAATACATGAAATAACAGACTACTTGGAGTCCCATTCAGAGCAGCATCTAAATCCAACCCATTTCATTTCTAGCAGGGTGAATTGTGTGCGCTTTGGCTTCGTTTCTTTCCTCAATCTCAATTGCTCAGGAATTAAAGGAATGCCTCTCACTGCAGTTCTGTATGAGAATTCTCAGCTGTCAAGAGACCTCACAGTCATGTAGGACTGGATGAGATTTTCACTTCTAGTCACCGAAGGTGAAATACATGTATATCTATATTCACCACAGTAAAGCTGCTTTCGTGTTCCTTAGAATGAGTTGTTTCCAGTATCTTGAACAAGGGAAGCAGTGCAGAAACGTGCACCACTGCTGTTATACTGAGCATGTTATTCTCATTTTAGTCAAACCTTTGAAAGGAGATCATCTGTCAAGAGCAATAGGGAGAATAGCAGGGAAGGGCGGAAAAACAAAATTCACTATAGAAAACGTAACCAGGACACGTATTGTTCTTGCTGACGCGTAAGTACCGATTTCCTTCTGGGCAAAGCATAATCCCTAAATTAATCCATGTCCTCTACCAGCAAAAAAGGTAACTTGAATTTTTGAAACATTTGTAGAGCAGTATAAGACAAAATATTTTAAGTTCTATTTTTAATGAATGCTATTTGAGTATTTGATCTTCTGTTATGAGAACAATGACAATGTCATCAGCACATCTAGAATTAACTCCCCACAGCATAAGAATTCCTTTTTAGGAATAATCAAAATTGGACCAACAAACCCTGCAACAAGTCTTTCCTCCTAAAACTGCTACACTTAAAATTTGTAAATTGTAAAATCTCTTTTTAAAAATTATTTAGAAGAGCACAGGTTTTAGACTGTAGGTTTTCTGGGTTTGAGGTGGGTTTTTATTTGCAAGCATGGAAAATGAACTACTAGACTGATCTGAAATTCCATTTTCATCTCTAACCTCCATTAACTATGTAATCAGTTTTTCCTTCCATTAAACTAATGCTACTTTGACTTTTTTTTTTTACAGGAAAATTCATATTTTGGGATCTTTTCAGAACATTAAAATGGCACGAACAGCAATTTGCAATCTGATTTTAGGTAAATCCTGCTAGTTAATCTGTTACATACAAATAGATGTTGCAGTTGGAAACTGCTTTCTAGGGGTCTTCCCTTCTTCCCTGGTGTGTCCACACCTGCACTTAGTGCAGGTAGCAGATATCTGGTTTGCCCTTAAGAGAAGGGTTTGGGAAGGAGGAGGGAGCACATAGGGCTTGGTTTCTAGCTCCAAAATCCTATCCACAATGCAGAAGGAAGATCTTCTGCTCTGATACAGCTGGAGCATTTGCTGAGGGGCTGTCTAGAAAGCCAAAGGGGGCAACTGACAGCAGAAGTTCTAACTCTGCACTTGCAGTAACAGACGAGGTGGTTAACCTTGACCATCCTTCTCACACATCAGCTTATTTCTCCACTTTAACAGACACAAACAAACCCTCCAGTTTTTTCTTGTTTGCTGACTGAGTTTGTGCTTTCTTCTGCAGGAAGTCCCCCATCAAAAGTTTATGGCAATATTCGGGCAGTGGCCAGCAGAGCAGCTGAAAGATTCTGAGCAGCAGCATGGCTGCACCACCAGTGACTGGGAGTCATGGTTTCTATATGCATGAGAGGCTGGGAGCTACGCAAGCACCTGGTCCTCAGCTTGATTTGGAAGCCCAGAAGAAAACTGGGACTGTTTGTGCAGCCTAATTTCAAAAATCGGACATGCTGTCCCACTGAAACACTTAATATTTTGTCAGTTATTAAAAGGTATTTTAAAGTGGTTGTGTCTGTAGCAGAAGTATTGGGTACCTGATTTTACTTAAAAACATGCTTCATTACCAACTTACTGAATGAAGTATGAAGAGACTGCTGTCAACTTCAGAAGGCCTTTGTGCTTAATGTTTTGAGCCTAAAGGAATCAGCACAGTTCATAACCACATCATGGATTAGTATCTTTCTGGAAAAAAGGAAGAGTCAACAGAAAGGGAAAGTTCACTGCCACACTGCCCAACAAGTCTCTGCTGCTGGTGGAACAAGGTACCACACAAACACAGTAAGAGGTAAATAGCATTTATGAACTTATTCCTGGAATCTGCACATATATAGACTTCTATTTTTTTATTCTCTCAGAAATGATCTGTAAAGGCAGCCTAGTGAAGCAGAGAGCCTCCAGGTAAAGTACTTAACCAGTGTACCAGAGTACAAGCAGCTGTAAAGGGCTGTTGCTCACTGCACATTTGCATGAGGCAGAGATGACAGCCCAGCTACAGTCCCAGTTTGACTTAAACCCGGGCCCTTTTTCTCCAGCCCCTGCCAGTCTAACTTGTTACCAAGTCTCATGCAAAACAATTCAGTTTAGGTTTGTGAACCAAAAAAATTGAAATGAGATCATCAAAAGCCCTAGCAAGTGGAATAAGCATTTCTCTCAATGTCCAAGTTGCCAGTGCAGTGTTCTGTAGTATGGGATTACTACTAGAGCCGAATTAATTAAAATCACTAAGATTTAAGACTTGCTGAGTTACCTAAATGTACAGCTCTCAGCAGTCTGAGCAACACAGGGGAGAGCATGGCCATTCTGAGAAGCTCAAGGTAAAACTGCATGTGCCTGGTGAGCACATTTTCTGTTCATCAGCTGCTTATATTTATCTCAATTTGCTTGGAAGATGAGAGGGCAGAGTGAGGCAAGGGCACACAGAAGTAATCTAAACTTTATCCTAAAGCAGGTGCATACCAATACAGACAAAAAGCAGCAGAGGGCAGCCCATAGAAGGCCCAGACAGCTGCACCACAGACAATGACAGCAAACAGCTTCTGTAAAGGATGTATCTGCTGCAGGGAAGACTCTTCACCAGCCGCATGTCTCCAACCTTCCCTTGAGAAAGCAGCTGCCTTTCATTCCCCACCTACATTAAGGTTAGGGTTTTTTGTTTTTTAAAACCATCTTCCACTTACCACAATCATCCTGAATTTAGCAGGATTTAACACAAAGGATTTTAGCCAATTTGGATATTTAGCAAAGAGAACCAAATGTGCCTTTAAGAAAAAACACATGTAAGTGCATCTTGAAACACTGAAATGAAACCTGGGAGTATTCATGGGATTTTCTGCACCCTGAACACTTTTTCAACAAATCTTTATAATACAAGAGGGGACAAAAACCACAAACAGCAAGTTTTCTTTAGAGCAGGGTGCAGAGCTGCTCTAAACTGAACAGGAAAGGTCAAGGTAGGTACTGAAGCACCCCAGCCAAGGTTCAAATATTTTATTTTGTATTCATATAGTATGAAGGTTCTTATAGTTCCCACAACATATGATGTAGCATGCAGAGGAAAAAACTAAACATTCAACATAAATCATTTTTCCCCACACAAACTAAAAAAAAAAAACCATCCCTCCCCTTTCAGTCCCCCTAAGGAAATAACATTAGCACTAATTTCTATAATGCCAGCCAAGATATGCACAAGCAAGTAAGAGAAATCAAAAGCATTTGCTAAAATGTTTGTAACAAATACTTATGTACAAAAAATTCACAAAAGACTAGTTCCCCCTTGAAGCAGAGCACATGGCAGTTGACACTGGAACAGATACAACCACTGGCTGGATTATAAACCACGTACTGATCCAGAGGAAGAAAAGTTACATGTAGTGGAGATTTTTGTTTTGAACATTAACATTTACCAAAGTTTGGCAGCATTATCTTTTAAATTATGCAAATTATGTAAACAAGAGGAGCATTTCAAATCGATCTACATGCAAAACTTCATGTCATGCAAGGACACCAAGCACCTGGATTTCTCTCTCACAGACAGAGCCCATGATGTGCAGCACTCAGTTGAAGGAACAGCTATGGCAGACAGGTGCTCGATTGAAGTAGGTTCAGACAACCTGCACTTTCCACTGCTGATTATAAAACAATTTTTAATAGAAAAACTACTATACAGGAAAGATGTACTGTCCTAAAAAATCTAGCAAATGTTTTTCTTCCAGCCAATAGTACCATTGCAGAAAAGGGAAGGGATGATATAAAGTTGTAAAACATGGCTCACTACTTTTATATCACACAAATATATCAAGTTACCATCCATTAAAAATTATGATATGGACAAATCTAGAAAAGAAAAAATTCTCCAGGCAAAGGACTGGAGAACCACAAGAGGTATAAATTTAGATAGTGTGAAGTTTTCCTCCTCTATGGCATAGGTTAATAAGATTTTCCCCCTGTATGAATCCTATATACATATATATATAAAATATTACCAGTTATTTATGCTACCTGTAGTATTCTTTAAATGCAGAGGGGAAACTATCATGGTTGAAACAACAGAATTTAAATGGCAAGAACATTTTATAATCTTAAGTACTGTATAAAATAAGTAGATGGGAATCCTGCACAGTTAAGTTGATCCTAATTTCATTAAGCTAAGCGCAAGAGAAAATCATGAATGTGTCTAACACCTTGAGCAGCCATATCTAAAGTGAATCCAAACAACAGATTTGCCTTAACTTCAGGACAGCTGTAACTGCTCCCAGTTCCTAGGTGACAAAATCTAGCGGCCAAAGCATTCTGCAGTTACTATATGCACACAAGGGCTAGATCTTGGCAGTAGCATTAAACGATATTCTCATATTAAGTAAAACTGTACTAAGTTATTTAGCAAAGAGACACAGTCCCTGGTAAATATATTAACAGGTATAAATAAACTTAGTCTCCTGTGTTACAAAAAATGTAATTAAGGTGAATTAATAAGAAGCAATGCTTTGTCAGCCAGTCAATATATAGAAACATCTGAACAGTCACAGGAAAAGAGTTGACCTAACACCCAGTTAAAATTTTACATTCTTCTACTATATATATAAAACTGTGTGAAATAAAAGTAAGGATGTATATCCATATATTGAACTGTTAATATTCTGCTTGGCACTTTGTATTCTAGTTTTGTTTCTGAATCAAGTATATTAAATTAAAGCCCACCTAGCTACTACATATAGAAAGCTACATATATATCTATATATAAATACACACACACATATATATATATATAGATAGATATTTCCTTGTTATAAAAGATGAAGAAAAATAAATTAAAAAGCCAACCCCTTCCCTTTCTCCACCACACTGATATGCTCTTTCCATCTTTGCTGTCCTTCAGACTTTAAAGTGCTACACTGAGTTATTGAGAGAATAAAAGTTCAATAACACTTAGTTGGCTTCATGAGGCTCATGTTGGAAAATGTGGCTTCACAGAGAAAAATACTTCCATTTAAATACACAGAGAGCATTGCTGGACGTCTTGAGCAGATCTTCAGAGATGGAGAAGAAAGCAAAAGTGTTGGGTGGTGCCCTACAGAGTCACACGTCTACAACCATCTTTTTGTGGATATCTAGGCCGCCTACAACCTGGGGGGGGAAAAAAAAGTGTTCAGAGACAGATGAGAATTGAATGTTCGCAATATACAAAGAAAACACTTTATTCAGAAGATGCATTCAGGTTGATCATAATTCCACCATTTCCCTGGCCTCTCCAAACTAATTTACTCTTCACAAGTACTGCAAGATACGCGAATGAATTATTTGTTACCCAAGGTAATTATATTGGTACAATTTACACACTCAATGGCCTAAAAAACAGTGTAAATTACACTATTTTGGCTTTCCTCCCCCATCTCATTTTCTGTCCTTGTATTATGCTTCTGAATGTTAAATTAAATGCTAACTTGACTTCTAAAACACCCTCTAAAACTGTGCACCTTTACATGGACGCAAAGGGCCTTAGGAAAGGCAGCAGGTTTCTGACAAAACCACATGCACCCAAAAAATAACTAGTGTTCAAAGGCATGTGACTCATGCACACAGAAAGGAAAAGAAAAGGTGCAATGTCAGAGGAACTTTTTATAATGCGGAAATAAAATTCAAAGGCCAAATGCCATGAACAGAAAAGTACTTTTGTAGATAGATGGCACCAAATTCAAAGAAGGTAAAACACACGAACAAGAGGATAAGAAATTGTAGGAATGAAAGAGGTCTTGTCAGAAGTCAACAAAAACTGGAGAAATTAATAGGAAGAGGAAAATCAGTAGTACGAGACAGGAAGTCTGGGCAGAAGCCCAACGACAAAAGAAAAGGCAACATCATATTCCATGGATAGCTAGAAGACAACAGTCCAGGGCAAGAAATGAACGGGTTTTTCACTAATCTGGGTGTTTGCAGGCTGCAACTCATTCCCAATTCTTTGCAGATGACCATGTGTTTTCACCTTGATGCCATGAAGATAACTAAAATCTACCAAAAACACTCACACAGGCAGCAGAACATTTTTACTTTAATAGTTTGGGGGAGGGCAGATTTTTTTAAAACTTTTTTTAGAACTTTCATTGAGCAGTATGAGGTACGTTTGAAATGAAGTTGTAAATTCAAAGAGTAGGAAACAAAAGCAATGCCTGAGTGCCTATCAACTCAAACTGTGCTACCTAGGTGTATGTTCATTCACAGACCATTTAAAATTAATGTGTAAATGCTCATTATTGTAATTTTGAAGTTTCAATGTATCATTTACCTTTTATTAAAGAGAAAATCTAAAACTTGCTGTCAACTACTTAAAAATATAGGAAAAAAAAATCAACCCCTTCAATTCTCAAGTGCTATATTCAATCATTCTGCTCAGTAAAACCCGAAGTTTTTTAAATGCATCTTTCAACTGTCCTTTGTCAAGAGCAGCACTTGAGGAGTTACTCTCCCTGTAACTGACACAAATCCCATGCTGTATTCTGCAGATGGTGATAATCTCCCCAGGCTCTCCACACTCTGCAAAGATAAACCTTTCTAAAGGGTGACTTGGAGCAGACACCTAGTTAAGAGACTGGGAGATTAACCTAAAGTTCACCTCTGTGGAACACACCTCTCCCCTCCACGCACCACCCTGACAGCAACACTTTCTGAACAAGAGGTCTGCTATGACGTATTCTGGTTTTACAGCTTTGGGAGGTTTGAAGCATATTTCCCACCCCCCATCAGCAGACTGTACATGCCTGCCCACCATGCTTGCTTTTTTTTTTTTTCCACTCAGTGTATTCTGTTAAGCAGCTAGAGAAATTTAAAACAACTGAGAGTGCTGTTTCTTTTTTAATCAAACTGTTGGAAACAAGGAAAATCAGCCTCCTACGACAAGCCAATCACTCACAACTCATCTTTAAAGCTGCTATTTTCTACCAGCGCAGAGACTGGAATCCAATATATGGCTTCATATGAGGCTAGCAGTTTTGTCTATACACAAAAATAATTAGGACTGGTCTTCTGTTTAGTATGTCATAAAATGACACAAATTACTTTCGTAAAAGTTGCTGCGCTCTGAACAAAACACCCTCTTCTTCAGGCAACTAGATTCAAAAGGAAAGCCTGCATCCTGAAGGAACTGACTCATGGTGTACCAACATGTCATAAGACACATTGCTCTACTGGAAGCCACAAGACAATGATACCATCTATAATAAAAGCTGTGTCAAAGGGTGACTGTTGTCAGGTCAGAAGCAGCAGTCTGCTTCTATATCTCTATAATCTTACCCTTTATACTGTTTGCCATTTTTCCTCATTTTTTAAAAAAATTGCTAATTATCTAAGTTTTCTTTAGAAGTTACTTACAGCACAGAATTCTTCAAAGGATATTCTTCCATCACCATCCTTATCTGCATTAATTATGGTTTTATCTACAATCTGCTGTAACTGAGTGTCTTTGAGATTGTTCCCAACCATCATCTTCAGGACCTGGAAGAGCTCTCCATTTGAGATATAGCCATCTTTGTCCATATCGTAAATGCGAAAAGCAACTGCAGAAGTACAATATATGTAAAACCTTCAGTAACAAATGTGGTCAGAAAAGAGAAATACACATTCATGTGCTTTGTCTTAACAACAAGTGATGACACAATCCTGCATAAACTGCATTTTAAGTGAGATTTCTAACAGCCTTCATGTTTCATTCTGAAAAACATGAAACAGCAGAAACAATACAATGAATGTTGCTACTACTGAATTTAAAATCACATTAGAAATGTCACTGAAATGAAATTAGTTTAGCACCAGCAGTAAAAGAACTCTATAACTGAACTGGAAAGCCTTCACTACCACACATAAAGCACCACAGTAGCAGTTCATTTGCAGCACAAAAAAATTACAACCTTCCAGGGAACAGATGAATCAAAATCCCACCTGGTTACCTTGCTGCAAACAATCTGGCATTAAAACTGAATTTACTTCTAAACATTTCAGTCTTAGTTATTGAAACCCAAATCCATGACTTAACCTGTCCTCTCCTCACTCCAAAAGCCTAGGTCACAATGCAGTCCTGAGATGCGGTTCGCAAACAAGAATTCAGTGCTGTTCTACTGTAGTAGCAAATACTTTAATATTCTTCT